GGTGCACTTTTACAGCCATTTGATTATTCATGATAATATTTTGGTATCAGTACTTATACATTTATTTACGCTTTATCTTCATTTCAGAGCTACGCAACAGGTACTTTTCACCATTAATGTTACAGATGAAGGTTGACATATACAAACCATTTACGTAGCAAGAATTCAAATACCTTAAAAACCACCAACCACCACCATTAATTGAAGCGTGATTTTTGTTTAGACTCGGATCGTTGTCTCTGTCGTAGGTTGAGAACCCTCCATAGATTTCTTCATAGATAATGTAACCTAAAATAATAACAAAAAATAAAACCACGTAAGTAAAACAATTGATAAAGTGATATTGTTGTATTATAGTACATCAAACAAATCTTACTTACATTAAAGATTACTGGCTTTTCCCGCACCGCATTTGCGGAAAAAACATTTTTTCCCGCTGATATTTGGCACACTAGCGTAAAAGCCATTGTTTTTGTTCTATATTTTTTATGCTTTTCCTCCGTTAGCAGAAAAAGCCGACTTGTTTTTGTTTTGATATTTTTCCTTCTTCTAGGCCTATCCCTTTTTCATGTGTTTTGTACAGGGTTTTCTGTCCGGCACTTATGTCACTTTCCGTGTTGGATCTTCTTCAAACTTGTCCAACCAAGACCATATACCAAAGATGTGCATAATAAAATATTACGTAATTCTACACCTTTTGGATAGGCCTATTAGTAGTAAACGGGTAATTAAACGTTTTGCATTTTCTAAAGCGTTTCAAACTAGCTACAGCTAGGTTAAACGGAAAATTACCGTACACTTTTTGCCCTCAGCATGTAAATTTACGCAAGGTACCTACGAACTGAAAGTGCACTGAACTCCGCAATGTCGGGCCGTCTGTTGTCATGGTTGGATCACTCTAATTAAAATCAAATTGCAGCACTTGCTGAAGTCTCAGTAGAGTGGAGTGATTTTTCATATATCTTTCTTCTACTTCATAATTGTTTTCATATACAGTATATGATTTTTTCATATTTTTTTTACTTCATAATTTTTTTCATATACAGTATATGGTTTTGTTTTTACTTCCTATTGAACATCAGTTCTCTCATTATGTCAATGATAAAAAGCCCATGGTCTGTTTTCACAAACAGTCATAAGGCCTAAGCTCAGTCTTTTATTTTGTTTAAACATTTCTACATTTTATTCTTCTTGCACGTGATACATATTTCCTTCTAAAAGTTTTTACAAATCTTTCCCTTTGTTGCATGATGAGTTCATTTAATAACGTTGGGTTTACTCAAGCTTACTCAAGTTTGTATACTATACAGTGGTGGCGCCAGAAATTTGCCGACAAGGGGTCCAAGCCAAAGGGCCGACGAAGCCTCGGTCGACGGTCCTGAATAGAATGTCCGATTTAATTGTAGTTCTTGTAGCAGCACCTCGAATTCCGACCGATTATCAAACATATGTTTTTCTCCCTTTCTGAACGCCGCCGATGATTTTACTTCAGATATCGACCCTGATTCCTAATTCTTTTCCAATACTCAAAGCATTTCTCAATATTATGATCCTAACGAGCTTGCTATTAATAATTTTACTGACTGTTTTACCATTATCCATTTTTAATATTAGAAGCATTCTAAAAAATCTCGATCAAATAAAACAGATTCTAACTTCACTTAATTTACCTTTTGATATAATCGGAGTTAGTGAAATGGCTCAAATATGACAACCCCCTCGTCTAACTTCCTAACTATTATTTTGTGTCTCATCATAGAACTCACAAAGACGGTGGTGGGGTAGCCATGTATGTTCATGATAGTCTACAATTTTCTAGACGAATGATCTTACTCTTCTTCCCTCCACCTCCGAATCTATTTTTATTGAAATTGTAAGACCTCACTTAAAAAACATTGTAATTGGTACAGTGTATAGACCACCTTCCTCTGACTTTCTTCAATTTACTAATGAACTTGACCACGCCTTTTCAAATAATATATCACGAGAAAATAAAATTGTTTACATTCTCGGTGACTTCAATATTGGCATTCTTAAACATGATTCCAATACTGATGCCCGCTTTCTTGTTGACTCACTTTTTATTAACCATTATCTTCCTTGTGTCCATAGACTATCTCGTATCACAAAAACTAACTCTAGGCCTATCTTGCTTGAAAAAATTATTACAGTGATATAACGGATCATCTCCCTGTTTTTAATATTTCACACTTTTCCAGTGTTGCAACTAGCTTAAGTAATGCTGAATATGTATCTAGTTTTAGAAAATTCATCCCACTACTTTAGAAAATTTCCATGTAAATGTGTCTTCACAACAATGGCTCGATGTCATTAATACCCAAAACCCTGATGCAGTAAATACCAATTTTGAAAATAAACTGAAATCCCTTTATGATAAACATTTTCCTCCTCAAAAACACAAAAAGAAAAACAATAAACTCAAATCGTGGATGTCGGACTGCTTACTAAAATCGATTAAATATATAAAAAAAAAATTATATGCTAAATTTCTGCACTGCCCGTCTGCCGCTAACGAAAAACTTACAAACAATCCGTAACAAAATAAATTCTTTAATTAAATGAACTAAAATTAAGCATTATCAAAATACATTTATTAAACATAAAAATGATATCAAGGCAACTTGAAAGACCATCAACTTGTTGATCAACAAAAAAGAAAAAAAAAAAAAAAATAATAATAATCGGCAATCTAATACTCCCCTAAATTGTGATGGGGTAATGACACTGATCCCAATAAAATTTCTAATGCATTTAACAAATACTTTGTCGAATTGCACCTTCACTTGCCAACAAAATTCCCCATGTCATTAAATCATTTAAAGACTTTCTACCAAACCCAATTCCTAATTCCATTTTACCCCAGTCAATGAGACTGAAGTGATACAAATACTAACATCCTTTAAAACGAACAAATCTCCCGGTATCGATGATTTTCACACCAAAGCTATCACACACATTGCTAATCTCATCTCTACCATTACGCAATAGTTTTAATCTTGCCCTATCCAACGGTGTATTCCCAGACGTAAATAAAATGGTACAAACCTAACTAAACAAATACATAAAAAGGAGAAATAGAAGAAATGAGAGAGCAGGTAGCCCTTGGAAACCAAGAAAGTTTAAAGAGCTTTCTCCTGTCTCCAACTAAATAACAATTAAGACTAGCTACATAATAAAAAAAAATATACACAATGTTCAGCAATACAGGACTTAATTTACAATAAAGATTGAACATGCTTAATTTCTGATCTCTTTTTTCAAGCTCTCCTAGCAAAAAGTTTACAAAAGTTATCAAAATATCTGCTCCAATTCATTAGGTACAGGAAGCTGTTGATCCTAAAACATAATGCAGTTTATTGTCGATAGACGAGTTTGAGAATTCATTCCAGATATTATTATAATTTATTAATGCTTGTTCAAGCTTGTCCAACTCTTCTAATTTTAAGTTTGAAAGAGCAGAACAAATAAACAGAAAGTGTTTTAAGGTTTCCTCTTGATTAATGTTAGAAAGTGTACAAAAAACATCATTTTCTTCAGATCATCTAGATACCCTGTTATCCATAGGCAACGTGTTCGAGCGAAGTTTAAATTTTAGGGATACTCCTTCAAAATCTAATTTATCTAATAAATATTTTTCAATTTTTATTGTGTCCTTAAATAGAACAAAGTCTGTGAGAGATGTATTACTAGCAACGTTCTCTTTCCATTCATTATTAAATATTCCTTTTATTTTAACAATTAAAGGATTAACCCAATATGTATTGTCACAATTTTTAAATAGGTATTCTAGAAGGTCTTTTGATTCACATTTTGTAAAGATATCATTAATACATTTAATAAACTTGAAACGAAAATCTTTAGGATCACAATCAAAAAGATTACTTGCATTGAGAAGTATTTTTGGCCAGCGATATGATTCCATTTAAATTAAGCGACAAAAATATTTAACTCGAGAAATATCATGCATGATTTGAATTTGTATCCAGCCAAGTTCACCATAAATTATAGATCGTGGTGTACTCATAGAGGCCTTTAGAATATATCTAGCCAACTGTAATTGAAGGTTTTCTATTTTATCTATATATGATTTATTTGTGATACACCATAATCTGATCCATAATTAATTGAAGGGAGGGCAATAATTGTCCTCCAAAGGATATCACCGAAATATTCCAGTAATACTAATACATTTGATTTCTCAAAATTAAAATTAAGTTTCCATTTATTAGCAAAAGTAGAGGCTAAATCCAGCATTTTGTTCAATTCAAATTCATTGTTTGCAAGCAGCAGTGCGATATCGTCTGCCCAGAATAAACCACCTAACCAATTTCCATCAGTCCTTACACCTAATTCATGTGAAACAAGTAATTTCTTAAATTCATTAAAAATATTAAATAGAATTAATGATAATACGCAGCATTTTTAACCCCTGATGAATTTCAAATGTATCTGTGTCAATTTTACCCATCTGTACACTACCTGTTACATTTTCATATAGTTTATCTATTATAACCTCCAAACTTTACATCTAATGCCTGATTTCCAGACAGATTTTAGTAATCCATCTCTCATAACACTATCGAAATCTTTACGGAAATCCAGGAAGGTGATATGTGTGGTTTTATTTTCTTTTAAGCGACAAGTTGCTACAATTTTTAAAGTAAATATGTGATCTTCATATCTGTGAAAAGCATGAAAACCTCCCTGAATTTCCGATAAAATATCCATACCCTCTAAGTAATTTGATATGCGCATAGATATAATTCTGTTAAAAATTTTGGAAATGCAAGACGTTAAAGTAATACCTCTAGAATTGTTTAGATCATTAGGATCTCCGTTTTTAATTATATACCATTGTTCCATTCTTGAGGTATTTGTTCTAGTTGAGTGCATTTTTCAAATAGAGTAAGTAGCGATAATATAATGGATTGTCCCCCATTCTTTAGTAATTCATTAGTAATTCCATCCAACCCAGGGGCTTTATTGTTTTTAGCACAATTAACTGCTTTTTCAACAGTATCAAAATCAAGCACAATATCGTTTAGAAAGTTTTGCTCTGTATCATCAGGCTGTTCTTTAACTGTTAAATTAATTTTATCTTTATCTGTAATTATCTCATCTGAACCTGGTATTTTAATGCATTCCATTTCTGTTTTTTTCTTTCTTTTGTTGACCAAAGGTCATTTATTCACAAATATCATTACAGTATATCATTATAAAGTATTCATTAACATCTCTTAATACAAAGACAAGTTGTTTCTCATTTTCATTTTTTTTTACTTGTTGACCAAAGGTAATTAAATTACCACCATAATAATCACAATAATAATAATAATAATAATAATGATAATCACAATCAATAATATTAATAATAATAATAATAATAATAACAATAATAATAATAATAATCATATTAATAATCACATAATACATCATTCCATGCATTTACTCTTTCTTTACTCTTTTTATTTCCTCTTAATATCTTCCAAAAATCTTTACAAGATGTACCACCTTTGTTTGCAATATCAACAGATTTGTGTACACGCTGTTGTGATATTCTTTCTTCAATCATTCTTTTAGCATGATTGCGTTTTTCCTGGTACGACCGCCAAAGGTGTTCAATATTATTGTTAGTGTTATTATTGATGATGTTAGTATTGTTATTATTAGCATTGACATTAATATTATTTACTGTATCATTTATATTATTAGTAGGACTATTATTAATATTATTGTTAACTTGTCCAACTTGTACATCATTATTCATGGTTTTAACCCATTGTCGGTGGAGGCGTGAAGCATTTTTTCTCTCCTTAATAGCAATATCGATATCTTTATTAAACCATGGCCTTTGTTTTTGCTTAAAGGTTCTAACCCAAATTCCATCAGTAGCTGCACTAGTCACAATGGTTTTCAATGAGTCCCATATTAAATCAACATCACTTATATCGTTTATATTTCAGTTTAGGAATTTTTCTTGAAGATTTTCTTGGTATAAGCAGTATAATCTTGATTATGTTTAATGTCCCATAATGGGTTTAATTTGCACATTGTTTATTCAAGTTTTTATTTAGAGACAACCATAGAAGGTTATGGTCACTTCCTAATCCAAATTTTCTTTGTTCATCGATGATGAGTGTTTGAATGTATTTAACAACAGATTTAGAGCAGAGAAAATAATTTATTGTACTCTGTTGATTTTCTTCTACACCAAGTTATTTTTCCCTCGCAAAAAGTTGTGCAATTTATAATAGTTAGATTTGCATTATTTTGAAACTCTGAAAGTCTTCCAACATTTGAATTAATAGTGTGGTCGCCATTGGGTATTATTTTGCCAATTATTGCATTAAAATCACCCATAATTAGTATACATGGCTCACCTTCATTATTATCTATTCTTATTACTGTAATTATTATAGTAAAAATAATATAGTACCTGCATTGCCATCAATGAGCTCTCCTAGATGCAATCTATAATAATCACTCTCTCTTCTAATAGAGAAGAAATCATACGTTGCTGTGCACAAATCTCCCGCTAAAGTTTGGACCTCCAGTCGAAGATAGAAGTGTCCCGTAGACGTCAGTTTATGTATAAATTCATTCCCCATCTAAAAGTCTGCGTTGATATTTCCAAATCCCCACTTATATTCCTCCCATGTTCTATTGAAGTTAGAGGTGCTATTTTCTCGTTTCTGCAAAACCTAAAATGCACAATTTAGGTGTTAAAAATCAAATCGAATGTATACTTTAACAATGTAGTATCTGAAATATAGCACGGTCACACAAAAAGTTTTAAATAAAATTTTGTCTATATTTCATTATTCATATTTAAACTCATGTAGTTCATATTATTATTATTATTATTATTATTATTGTTATTATTATTATTAGGGCCTATTATTATTATCATTATCATCATCATTATTATTGTTATTTTAATTATTATTATTATTATTATTATTATTATTATTATATTTAGGCCTATCAATATTATTATCATTATTAATATATTATTACTAGTATTATTTTATTATTAATTTTAGGATTGTGATATATTGTGATCTTAATCCTAAAAAGGCAATGTAACATGATACTTACGGTCCACCCTTCATTATTTACCATTTCGCATTTCACAAGAAACGTTTCCGTTCCATCAGTAACAGCATATACACCAGATTTGGCTCTCGCTTGAGCACTAAACTGAGTACAGTCTTTATACTGAAAATGAATTAACACTTCACATTTGAAATTCAATTTTTAATTGATAAGATATGAATAAAAATAGAAAATAATAATAATAATAATAATAATAATAATAATAATAATTTGATTGATGTTTGTTGACATGTTTGTTAAAGATGTGCTGTCTGCCATGAGCAAAAACTGAGAAAAAAAAAATTAATATTTCAGTTGTTTAATTTGTATATAAGACTTGCAATTAAAATTCTGTATGAGAAAAAAAAATCTCCGTCTTATTAACGGAATGTAAATAATATCTTTCTGGTATTCTTTTACATAGACCCTTATTGACATGTTATCAAATTAATACTTTTAAATGGGCTATTCAAAATTTTCAATAAAGTTTTAAAGTTTTCCTTAATTTTATTTTGCAGGCATTATGGAGAAAATATTTTTCTTCATGGTATATCATCTTTTAACAAGATAAATATTGCACTTTAAACAAGATGACTATTGCACTTTATTAAAACTATATCACTTACATATGTTTTCATTGAATAAAATTGTATTTGACTGTTGCTTTCATGGGGTAGTCCGAAATACATCCATAGCCGGCACTCGGATGTTCCCATATTGAATGAAACAGAAACGCAGGGCGGATAATTGTGCAAGCACATCAAACAACATTTGACTACACTTGATTGTGCTGTTGATTGCAACGGATTACTATCTCTATCTCCGCACTGTAATTCATTTTCACAACCTTTAGATACCACAAAGGTGGCACTTCTGTGGTCCGATATGTTACCTAAAGATCAGATATTAATGTAAAACATAATAATAATTGTATAAACGACACCATCATTCTTAGGTATCCCTTCAATACCATAGCTATACTGAATTGCTTATACACAGAGAATTTCAAGTGAAAATTTTTAATGGTCTGGTTATGTTGTATATATCTGATTCTAGTGTTTTCTTTGAAAAAAATGGTAATAGGGCCAATATTTAATAAGCAATGACTGGAAAGACTCCTAGGATAACTTTTTTTTTTGTAGCTCCTGAACGGTAAGCTTAACGACCTCCATCTGGCGAAGATGTGTATTGTTATCATCGGGCTGTATGATGATGGTCTATGGCGGAGGTGGGCGCATCCTGAGGTGGGTTATCCGTTTCCCATTATTATTATTTCCCTTTATTTTTATCAATATTTTTATCAACTTCATTCTTATAGGTATTTGAAAAAAAATCATATGGATCCAAATATCAACCCAATATTCATTCTAATAATCATTTTAAGTGATCGATATCTAATATCAGCATGACATTTTTTAAGCATTTTTTTTTTTGAATAAATTTCATTTTAATTTGAAATGTTTTTTATTGTAACTTGTAAAAAAAAATGTCAGTTGTTTTTGGACAACAAATGTTATCTTATCTTTAGAACCTCTGTTCTCACTTTCTTCACGATCAAAAATCAGGGGAGACGACCCCGTGTCAAAGCATCTCATATCTGTCATATGCCTTTACTCTTGAACGAGAAAAGTAAGTAACGGATAACGTGGGACAGGCTTTACGATATCAATATATAAAATGAACAAGTTTAAAAAATTTTTTTTTTTATGAATAAGGGATTAGGGGATGAAATTCAATAAATTACTTAACATAGGTCTGCACATGTCTTCTTATGCAGACCAAATTAAATGTGCGAATTAGTAGTAAATATCTAGAGTTAACCTATCATTGTCAAGTACGGGTCACTGCCGAAAATAGGTTTCCTTTCTAATTGAAATTGTTGATATGTTTTTGATCCAAAAAATAACTGGTAATTTCTACAATTCTGATTTTTGTCTTTATAAGCTGTTCTGTGACTGTAGAGACATGGTTTGGTATAAATGTAGCGATGAATACGATAACAATGACGATGATGCTGCGATGCGCCACAAAGCAAAAGCACAACAAATTTTGGCGTGACTGAATAACAAAATCATATTTCAGCGCACATCCATTTCCGTTTAATGCTGCCCTCAACTGAGGGCACAAATCCTATACTCTTTATGCATTTGAACGAAAATTAATTGAAACTGACCTTCTTGCCCAGTAACTTGCTCATTAGATAACCTTTTTGCTCTTTCCACAAGCTCTAAACAAGACAGAAGAATGATGATGACATAATTAATGTCGAAATATTGAATCCCAACACGATGGCGTGTATTTCAATACTTGGAGTATGTATTATACTTTCTTATCTGAGATTAATCAGTGGACCTTTCGGTTTTTGGAAAACGCTCCGTAAGACAGAAGTAATAATTATTAATGGTGACGATAATGTTATTAAGGGGGTCATTCGTGTTTCCCATCATTTTTACGAGAGGAACATACATTATATATATTATTAAAAAATTTATTAAAGTAAATGTTTAAAAGAAAATGGAACATAATCCCTTTGAAAAAACAGGCAAATAATCTATATCCAATTAATAAATTGGTTTATTTCATTTATATCGCTGTTAGACTTTAAAATTCAAACGGTAAAGAAGAGGAATATGCGAGTGCGAAAAAATGGCCCCCCAACAGCGATTGCAACCCGGGACCTTCTGCTGTCTATGCGCATATATAT